GTGATTGAAGTTTCCAGATGGGGCTCTATATAAAGTCAGTATACAAATATTAGAAAAAGGAGAGTCTAACTTTAGAGCACATGCTTCCAGATCCTGGTCTTTGCAATAATCTTCTAAATTTATTTTAGTAAATTTTAGGTTTTCATGTACAAAAATACTCACTCCTCCTTTCTCCAGTGTTTTCCTACAGTATCTAGCACCTAAATTATAATTTTCTAAGTGAAGATGTTCTGATTCCAGCTGTTTCATGTGATGTTCAGTAAGGCACAGTATGTGTGGAAGATTTGAATTCATGGAGCTTATTAGTTCATTTGTTTTGTTTCTCAATCCTCTTATATTCTGATGGAATATTCTTAGTACTTTATTATTCACTGAATTTAGTAGACTGCAATTACCTATGGTAACCACATCACAGTAATTCAAAGTTAATTTCACACTGTACATTAATTAAAATGTGTAGTAGAGTTCAGAGATTCAAAATCATTTTCTTCCCTCTTCTCTTGCAGTACAAAAATTATAGTTCTTTCCAATGTCCTTAATACCCTTGTCACAATTTATTTTCCAGTCCTTGATACCTCACTTTATGTCCTCTGATCACCTGTTTAACTTGGCTGTAGTCCTTGATCACTTCAGACACCCTCTCATTCAACTGGTCAAATTTTGGCCCAAGGGCATCTGCTTCTTTCCTGATTTTGGACATTTCTTGTTTATGAGCCTCTAACATCAGTTTTATGGCCTTACTCTCTTTCTCCTGATATATAACATATGCCAATATCCGGTCGATCTTCAGCTGCTTGACTGGACTCAAATGACTTGTAGTATCACAATCTTTAGATTTGCAAACCAAACTTTGGCTGAAAAACTCTTCTGCCTCTTCTTTAACATGTCACTCTCCACTTTATTATCTAACACAGATCCGCCAATTCTGGTGTGGTAGGTTTCTATGTCCACACTCATTCTAGTGCTGTGGAAACACGTCCAACTTCCACTGTGTCTGAAGCTCAACTATTTATTACCATTTTTTTTAAATTCGCTTAGTGGGGGGTGGAGTCCAACTGGGTCCACTCTGCATGGCGGCCACTGATTGGCCTATTGTAGCCTGATCCGGGTGATTATGATGATGAAGAATTTGATGGAATGAAGATTGGCAGGGGAAACTGCACTGATTGGCCTATTTTAGCCTGCCCCAAGTGATTATGATGATGGAGAATTTGGTGGAAAGAAGATTGGCAGCGGAACCGAAGTACTCAGAGAAAACCCGCCTCAGCGCCACTTTGTCCTCCACAAATCCCATTTGACCAGACCCGGGATCGAGCCCGGGTGAGAAGCCAGCAACTAACTGCTTGAGCTATGGTGCAGCCCCTTATTACCATTAGTAAGATACTATTCTTCATTCATATTTTTCTGTCAGTTTGGCTAATAAATTTTCAGTCTGTAATCAAAGGTACTGAAATTTCAATGATCTTGATTTTTATTTGTTTTACTAACTAATGTATCTAATTTCACAATTGATGGTTCAAGTGTAATGATTTCTTGAATAAGGAAAGTTTATGTAAGATTTGAGGTTTTCATGGCAGTGACTATGAAGAAAGTGGAAAGCGGCACATCCCAGAAGACTGCTTTCTTCAAGGAAAGTTTAGTTTTCTAATTGTCTCTAAATTATCTGTATTAACTTGGTAATTGAAGTGTGTTCTTTATCATTTTATGTTTTAAGGTTATTTCCAACTGGGGAACTTCTGTTATAAAAGCAGTGTCTCCTTCTGGCACAACATGCTGAATTCATGTGTATTACACAGTAATGATCTGTTGTTTATGGTTAGTTTTGGAAACTCTGTTATTGCTTTTATCTTTATCATGTTCACCTTTCATGATTCAAAGTGTCACTGCCATTATCACTATCATTGTAACCATACTGTTTATATCACTAAATCTTTAGAACAGGTATCAGAACAATAATCATGTAATTAAAATGAAGGAATAAACACTATTAACATGTTAAAAAAATTGTGAAGGGAATCATTTCAAACACATGAAGTGAAACACACCTGAGATACAACCAAGCAGAATGTGATCTTATGAGGTATTCTTTTATACTTCTTGCTGCATATAAATAGGACTAGAATCCAAACCTGAAAGAAAAAAAAATCACAATTTTGTTAATCCTTTTAACTTTACAACCAGGGTTTTGCAGCATATTAAATAAAAAATGACTATATTTTAACCTTCCATGTGAGCGGCCTCCATAGTCTAGAGGTAACATTCCCACCTCATGACTCGTAGTACGCGGGTTCAAATACCTGGCAGAGGTCGTCGAATTTTTAAGGACAGAAAAATTCAGGGAACAAGTCCTCCAGGAGGGACTTTAAGCCGTGGGTTCCATGTCGTAGCTTTACGGCATGTAGAAGAACCTCATATCTCCAAAGGAGGTCACTGAGCCAAATTACGGACGTTTCCCACCCAACAGCAGTCTCTTAATACCTCTGGTAGATGGGGGAAGCATTACAGATACCTCTCAGCTAGCAGAGCCGGTCTCACTGGCTGGGCGGGACTGATGGTAAGCACCAATACCGGTAGGATATAGAGACTGGTAGAAATCATAGAGGGAAGCACAATGGACCAATACAGGTCTAAGTGCATGGAGAAACCCACCCTCTCCAATAACTAACTAACTAACTGACTAACTAACCTTCCATGTGTACATTGCAACTATTTGCATACAAGCATGACATTTCTCAAGTGTCAAAATTAAAATTTCCAAATGCCTATGCAGTGTTCTACATAATAAAACAAATACAATTACAGTAGTAAAATTTGCAGTAGTTTGTGGGAAAAATAAGACCACCTATTAACAAACATTTCATGTTAGCATATGCAAAAGAATCTACTGCTATAATTAATCTATCCAGTATGTGTCATAGCAATGGTGATGAGAATTTGTATTCAGACAGCCCGCCAGTAAAGCCATAATGTGCAAGATACACAGATTCCTTCATACACACCAGAGGAATTAATTACAATCTGTTGCCAGATGGAGCTGATGGCTGCCTATCCCCAACTGACCCCTGTCCTTCGAATCATATTTACAACAGGATAAGATGTAGCATCACCAAACAACTTGAGACTAAATTAATGGATGTGTAGTGTCACTGGCAGATTGCAGAGGAACACATGTGACACCCATAATACATGAAACTTAGCCTCATGTAATGGACCAGAAGCGACCACTGTAATTCAACAGTACTCAGTGACTGATCACAAACACATAACAGAAGAGAAAATCACAACTACAATATAAAAATATACAGAGAGGAGTAAAAGTTGTGAACACATTTTATTTTTCAGTATCTTTCGAACTATTGGTGGTTTTCATTTCAAACAGTGTAAACCCTGGAGTGTCTAGACGCATAGAAGTGGACTGTTCAAGAGTGCTCTGCTATAGTGAAGCTATATTTTAAGAATGATTTCTCCAGAACAGTTGCTCAAAGAGCCTTCAGAAGAATATTTCAATTTCATAAAGCCCCATCAGAGCATGTCACCACATTATGCATTTCCATATTTCTCATGTAATGGAGATAAACTGGCCATGAAGAACACCCAGCCTCTCTGCTGTCAATTTCTTCCTGTGAGTGTCCCTAAAATGAAGGGTGTATGTGAAAAAGCCCTGAACACTGCAGCATCTCAAAGACAGCATAAGAGAAGAAATCTGGAACATCAAACATGACACTTTGAGGTAAGTAATAGAAAATATTCTTTTAAGAGCTAAACAATGGGTTGCAACAAGTGGTGGGCATTTAAATGATAATTTTTGTAAGTTGCAAACAGAATATTTTTGAAGAAAGTTGTCTTCTGGGTTTAGGCACTGTGTATTCTTCGTTTTGGCCGACGTTTCGGAGGAACGTCGGCCAAAACGAAGAATACACAGTGCCTAAACCCAGAAGACAACTTTCTTCATTGTCATCGCCGTGAAAACCTCAAAACTTACACAGAATATTATTGAGTTTGTGAATCTGGAAATATACACAAACTTGTCAAACCAACAACGATTTATTACTTATATACAAATAAAATGCCTTCATGACTTTACCTCATTGTTTATAATGAGGGAGCTGGTTGGAACAAGCTAACAAACAGAAAGTCTTTCATTGGTGCAGGAAACCAAAGTCTTAACACAATTTCCAATACAAAACCATTCAACAATCTATGTTAATCCATCTGCCACACTGAGAATGGTTTACAGCTTGTAGCTCCAAGCAAGAATGCCATTTAAGCTCAACACTTGTTCCCAAGATATCTATCCAAAGGAAAGGAAGCAAAAGGAAGGCAAAACTGCCAATCAGAAAGGCAGAAACTGACAAGATACAGGGAGATCCAGCAATATCTCATGAAACTGTGAGCAATGGCTGGCTCATAATACCCACATACACAAATTCCACAACCATGAAAGGGTTTAAATTTTCCACATACTTATACTTACACAAGCAAAAATACCAGCAATGCTGACATCAAGGGCAAATGAATCTAATTCATGGAGATAGTCCGAAGGTTTCAGCTTGTTAATTGTTATCATCTTAGCTGATATGAACATCAGTGGAGCTGATATGAAAGTGCATGCCACCATTGAGCTGGCAATCTGGTAACAGAATAAAATACAAATTATTTCAGAGTGCTAAGAGGGTTATAATATTGCAAACCCAGTAAGGATGTACTTTAGCGGCGGCCTCTGTAGTCTAAAGGTAACGTTCCCACCTCATGACTCGTAGTACGTGGGTTCAAACCTGGCGGAGGTCGTGGAATTTTTAAGGGCGGAAAAATTCTGGGAACAAGTCCTCCGGGAGGGACTTTAAGCCGTGGGTCCCGTGTCATAGCTTTACGGCATGTAAAAGAACCTCATATCTCCTAAGGAGGTCACTGAGCCAAATTCAAGGACATTTCCCGCCCAACAGTAGTCTCTAATGCCTCTGATAGATGGGGGAAGCATTATAGATACCGCCAAGCCAGTAGAGGCCGGTCTCGCTGGCTTGGTTGGGACTGATGGTAAGCACCAGTATCGGTAGGGTATAGAGACTGGTAGAATATCATAGAGGGAAGCACAATAGATCAAACTGGTCACGGTGCATGGGGAAACCCACCCTCTCTAAATAACTAACTAACTAAGGATGTACTTTTCTCACAAAAATGTTAGATATTTATAAAAGGCAATGTATGTGGCAACACCAGCATATTCTGACACGAAGAGTAAAGAATATATAACCCTGAGCTGTCTACCAGTTTCATTTATATATAAGCTCTTTACCCCCAGTGATCAGTCATTATAATACAAACACACATTCAGCAGCAGAACATTACTTCAGTCATCAATCTTATACAAATTGCTGGAATGCATGTACGTTTTTGGACAGTCCAGTTCTAATTAAATTGACAGCATACTATCTTACAAACTGAAGAGCTCTGTTTTCTGGGATATAATGTCATGTAGTCCAATGAAACGAAAATCAACAGATGTTTCAGAGGAACATGTTGCCTCCATCTCCAGCTTCACATTGGTTTCTATATTGCCTTATTCTTCAACCCTGAAGATGGAGGCAACAAGTTCCTCCAACACGTCAGTTGATTTTCAACAGGCCACATGGCATTACATCTCAGGATTTAGAGATCTTCAGAAAGTATTACACCTCTCATGTGCTGCAAGACTTCTCAATCACCATGCATTTACAACAGCAAACAATGGTTACAAGCAGGGCAGTGCAATGATTTGTGTACAGCTGACACCAATAAAATGTTGGAAAAATATCTCTTGATCAACAGTAAAAGTGCTGCAACTGGCCAGACAATTAAATAACCATCCTTCCTGCTATATGGATTATTGTAAAATAAACGGTAGAGGACCACTAACTTCTACTAGCTGACAGGCAGAAAATTAAAAAATGTGCAAATATATAACAGTGGGTGAATTCACTTACCAGATCTACGTCAAGTGAATACTGTGTGGCAAATACAAACACACCTGGAGCAGCTGGAAACACTCCATATAGGAACCCATAAGTACTGAGGTCTAGGGTTTCACTTGTGTTAGTACCAGGATGAAATAAACTCACAACTTCATGTATCACTAGAGGAAGAACTAGCCTATAAAATGAAAGGAAATGTAGCCACAAAAGTTACATACTACTAAAATACTATATGCTAGAACATGTACTACTGTTATACTGGATTCACTTGTCTACCTGTGTATATCTGCAGATATACACATGATATCACCATGAATTTTCAAGCATTACCATGTAGCAACCAGCCTAGCCATACAGTAATAGTACATTTTTTTAAGTATACAAAGTAACTCTGAACATAAACTGGATATTTAGGGACAGCTGCAGTACCTGTATTGGAGTGCAATTGACATTTATCTAAGTTAAGCAGGATTTCTGACCATTTATGGCCAAGCAGGTGAAAAGGGCGCTCATTACATTCTTTGTTTCAATACAATAATCCCAAGGTTAGTGAAACTAGAAACATATAGCCCATTCACAATGCACTATGGCCTTTAACCTCTGCACCAGCAAAACAGAATAATGTATGTTGAAATAGAGTCTTACAGTGTAACTGTAACATCTGATAGAAATCTGCATGACATAAAACACACCTAATAGTTTTTGTAGATATGATCAAAGGTACAGTTTTGCCACGCGTCAAAGTGACTCCGATGGGATATTGGATTTATTGGCCACTTATACGCACAACTTGTAAGTGCATGTAATTACAGCACCACCACTAATCTCCATAATTCACAAATCACCACAGCATTAGCTAGGCTTTTTCCAGCTGGCTGTGTCTTCACCAGCTGTTCCCTGGCAACAGCTTCTAATAGTGGAGATTCTTCATCTTCATGTCTTCACAGACTCCCATACAGAACTGACTTAGCTGTTCCATTGTCTTCCTTACAATCCCTTGTCCACTGATATGTGGACCAGGAGTATCATGGGCAATATACAGAACACAAAGAATTTTCACAAAGCCATAGCGAATACAAGGAATGACCTCTATGAAGAACTTGACCTCATGTTCCACCTTGAAGCACAGACAACAAAGGATGAGATAAGGATCAAGAATGAATGAAAGCTAAGATTGAGGCAACTCTACATGAATTCCAGACACGGGTGAAAGAAATCGAGGCTGGGGCCAAGGGCAGAAGAGGAAGAGGAACCGGTGTGGGTGAGGGCGAGGGGGCTACTGGGAGGAGAGAAGACGGTGAACAATGCTCTCAGGCAGGCCCCTGAAATACAGGCCTTGCTTCTAGCTGCCAGGACCCATAAGAAGAGTGCCAGGACATTCTGGAGGAACCCAGTGCCTCCCCCCACCAGGTAAAGGGACACAAGACAACTGGGATGCTGGAGCTGTGGAGAGCCAGGTCAATTCTGGGGAACTGCCTTACAGAAGTGAAGCAGAAAATGCCAACCAGTGCCCAAAAACGTGAGGAAAGGCCTCCAAGAGACACATGGGAACTGCTAAGGAAGTCTGAACTGCGACTGAGTTACAACAGAGAAGCGGTCAGGAGGCGTGGCCAAATGTTGGGAAACGAATGGGGGCCGGCGGAAAAGGGCGGACATCGGCATATATATTAAGATCACCCCATCATGCACTGACTGTCATTACAAAACGGCTGACCCTAGCCTAGTCACAAAGGGCTGGGTCAGTGACAAACCATGCCTCGTGACAATGGACACAGGGTATATATGTGACTGTGACCAGAGCCAACATCGCCACCAGATGGCCCAAAAGACAGCCAAGCCAAAGTTACACACTGCAGATGGTGTCTGCAAAAGCCCTTCCCATCTTGAAGGAAGTTCTCCTGACAGTGACCCTTGGGCGGCGCCTGCTGAAAATCTGGGTATTCATCGCAAATATCACGAACGAGTTCATCTTGGGACTGGTCATACTGTGCGCATATGGTGCATCTGTTGACCTTTGGCTCCAAATGCTGTGTCTTGCAGAGGTAGAGGTATCTCTATCCAGCCCCAGCCTTCTAGCCTGGTAGTGGCCAAGACCTCCACCTGACAAAACAGGCAGATGTAGGCGAGATGCTAGAGAACATGCATCGACATGGGATTAACGATGAATCAGATAGACAATGGTCATCCCCCATCCTCATCTGGAAGAATGAAGACCTGCACTTCTGTGTAGACTACAGGAGATTATACGATGTCACTAGGAAGGGCTGTTTCCCACTGCCCCGGATGGACGACACCCTGGACACTGGCTGGTGCCAAATGGTTCTATGGTTCTCCACTCTCTACCTGAAGAGCTGGTATTGGTAAGTGGAGACCCAGATGATAAGGAGGACTGCACTCTTGATGGGTCAAGGCTATGGTATTTCATGGTCGTGCTCTTTTGGCCTCTGGGCCTACTGCAGTAATTCATGACAAGTACAGTCTTCTATTTTCAAGTATTGCTTCTATTCTGAGTTTTAATAGTAGGTATGTGGAATGCAATCAGTATTTAACACAGAATGTGAAATATGCTGACAAATGCCAAGTATGCATTAGTGTAGTGCAGACTGTGTCAAACTCTTTGTAGAAACTCCTTTGAATAAGTTTTAGAAAATTGAGAACTGCCTGTTTAATAACTGGTTAGATGAGGAGCAGTTTGGATACAAAATGAAATGTACATATGATATTTCAATACAGTGTAAACTTACTAAACAAACGTATATACTAAGTATAATTTTAGAAATATTTTGTATTGAGCAGATATCTGTAACAAAATGTAATTTTCACTAATCTCTTTTTTAAGAACACAATAATAAAGGAATGATGTTTGAATACAACACACAAGGCTATGAAACTTACAGTTTTACAGCAATGAGGATTCCTGGAACAACTAGGGTTGCTCCTTGCAGTGTGTGCACTTTCCCCACCATACGAAGTCCCAAGAGGAACAGAGCTGTGGCAGAGAATGCTGAGCCAAGAATCTGCCAACAGTACAAAGTACAAAATTCTGTTCTGGGTGTTCCCATTTGAAAATGTAGAGTCCTACCTTCACATTAGCCAGGCAGGTAGGGGCTAGGATAGCCCCTGGTACCTGGAGGCATAAAGCACAAACAAACACCACTATTTTTTAAGTCAATTACATACAAAGTTGCTCAGCATAGCATTACAAGACAGAAACAGCAAACTGCCATATGGCTAAGGGAGACTAGTTTATTAGCCTCAGCAGACAAAACCTCTGAGGCATCCAAAACACAGACCTGAAGACTGGCAAGAATCATGCACAGCTTGCACAAATGAGGACTCAATCTGCCTAGAAGCTTACCCAAGCATCACTTTAAAGCAGTACGGTTGCTTAACACTTTGCACGTAACACTTTTAGGACACGCTATGTTGAAACACACTATACCTTTCTCTGGCACCACCCAAATTAAATGATTACTGTGTAATATTATTCCGCAATGTTTGCTTAGTAGGCAGTAACTTGATCTTGCTGTTTGGGTTCCCCCTCCAAAGGAAAATGTTCTTTGACCCTTCAAGCTCTTATGTACCAGGCAGGAAGTTAGTAGTGCAATGAGTCAGGGACAGAAGTGGTTGAAAACCAAGCAATATCTGACTCGTTCTCCAATGAGCTATCTGACCTGATGTTCCTTCTGAGACATGTAGTGATAGTGATTTAGACAGTGGCAGTGAAAGGGGACAAGAAATAAGTGTGGCCACAGACAATAAAAGTGAAAGTAGCTAAGACGAAAGTGCAGGTAGAAGTGCGGGTAGTAAAATTGCAGGGACAGCCATATGGGGGAAAAGTAGACAAAATGCCTAATTTGGGACAGTTTACTGGAAATCCAGGGGTGAAACAAGTTCCATTGGACAGAACGCAAGTGTCTGAAGTAGCAGAACTGTTTTTTGGAGATAGGGATACTCGTGTTTTGAATATGATTTCCACAAATTACAATTCGAGCATGGTTGATGTTCAAAGGAGCCATGGCCAAGTAAAGAAGCCTATTTGTATTTCTGAGTATAATAGTGTGATGTGCTGCACAATGGAGGACACCCCCTCCCTCCCCCAGCAGTGACGTGGCAGATCTGGCCACGGTGACGTAGCCCCCCCCCGGGCTACGTGGCACCACTTCCTACTGTGATGAGACATGCAACGCAGCGTTGCTAGGCAACAGGCAAACACTGCGACTATATAAGGGAACTACACAGCCGCCAAAGACAGTTCTCAAGTCATCAGTGAATGAGTTCTCAAGTCAGCAGTGAACAAGTTCTCAAGGCAGCAGCCGTTAGAGTTGAGTTGTAATATAGCAGCCGTCACAGAAAGAAGAACCGGACGCATGTGTGATAATCAGTGATAGTTTGTGATAACTGAGTAATAATTGGGAGTGTGTGATACAGTGACACTTGTATAGCTCCCGTATCATAATTAATACATGTATACTACTGAGGACAGAGTGAATTGATTAGTGCATAGGGTTTGTAAACTGTGGAAACCCGCAACAGTGTTGTAATTAATTGAAGCCGAGGCTGGTAGGTTGTTAAATAAACCAATTAACAATCCAAATGGCGTCTTCAGTAAGTAAACACGTTACAATATGTTCATGAAGGGAGTTGATAGAGCCGATCAATACTTGGCCTATTATTCTCTTCCTAGGAAAATAATAAAGTGGACAAAGAAAGTTGCCTTGTGGCTTATTAATTGTGCCATTTTCAATTCATTTTTGGTTTACAAAAATCTAAACCCCGATTCAAAATTGAAATACAAAGCATTTCTGATGAATGTGGCAAAGGCCTGGGCTACAGACCAGATGGTGGCGGCAGAATCAGAGTCAGGCACAGACTTAGTGCAACCGGGCCCATCAACTCCCACCCCATGCAATCCTCATGTGGACACCCCTGGGTGACTCTCGGGTGATATGCAGAAACATACCCTTGTGAAAATTGTGAAGAGTGAACATTCCAAGGGGAAGCAGCCTTCTAGGCGATGCTATGTTTGCGCAGTACACAAAAAAAGGAGTATGACTCTCTACATGTGCAAGTTCTGTGTAATGCCACTTCACAAAGGGGAATGTTTCTAGGAATATCACACTCTCAGGCACTTCTAGGGGCATTGGTAAGTGTTCTCCAAAAATTTTAGTTCATAAAATTAATTAGGAGATTTTATATTAATTTTTAAAGTGAACAGTGCACAAGTTAGGGTAGTAGGTTTAAAAATGCTGGTCCCCAGGGTGATTTAAATATTTAAATTGCCGGTTCGCGAAGCGTTAAGAATTTTTCTTTTCTTTTCTTTCTTTCTTTTTTTTTTTCATTTCATGCATCCTGTTGTGTTACAATATATAACTTCTTTATTAAGACCGTCACAACACAACTATATCAAGTCCAGTGCCTGGTTTTGGCTCTGCTACATGTTTCAGCTATTATTTGCCTGATGATGGCTTTTAACCTTTAAGAGGTTAGCGACACCGTATGGACACCTTTAAAGTGTAGCCAAGTGGCTGTGCAACACTGTATGGGTACGTGCAGTCCACGTGTGCGCACAATGTTTTAAAATCTAATTTTAAGATAGAAATTTTTGTTCTACTTACATTATTTTTGGGCACCCGCTTTATAAGTAGACAGTCTTCCCTCCTGCGTCATCTAACTGAATGCAGAGTCCGACGTCGCAATTCATGCACTTTGTCCGGATGTAACTCCGTTTCTCACACGAAGAGCACACACAACATCTCAGTCTCATATTAGAGGAAGTCGGCCAGTGATGTCGAGTGGCCTCCTCTAATCGTAATGCTTATAAAACATCGCAATTTCATCTATCCACCATGGCCTAATTTCGAATGGAAGAAGCCGAAAGTGAGAGGCTGCTGATAAATGACACCAATTCAGAATGCAGAACACACAACTCTGAAAGTGGCGAGGAAGCAAGGGGGAAATGCGGGGCTATTCCGAGATCAGTACTTCTGTGTGGCTAGTCCTAGATATACACAGTCAGAGTTTCTGAAGGACAAAGTAAAATAAGACTTCGCCCACACTTGTGCATACAGAAAGGTTCCGACGTGACCGGAGAATGTGCAATAAAACATAAACTTCCTCCCCTTTTGCCAGATAAGACATAGTAAGACAGGATGTCAGCAGCATGCATTTATACTGCAGAAACGTTTTATGCAGAAACTGTATGAATATTTGTGAACAGACGATCAAAATTGGGATTTTTTTTTTTTTGAATCAGTGTAACAATTTTTACAGATTTTAAAATCTGTAAATTATAATATCTGATTCTATATTCTTTCTAGATAAAAGCAGCGTTTATTTCGTCGTTTATCACAAAAATTGTAGAAATCACAGCATTTTCAGTAACATGCTTACAATTTTTAATACTCTACAATGGTGGACATTTAAATTAACTCCGGCCTGCTGCCATTATGGGAATTTAACTCTTTGACTGGTGCGAAGGGTATTTAAATCCCACCCCTGTCCTGGCAGGCCCTTTAAGCCTTAAGTCGCTAAAATGCATGTGTTTATTTTCTAAATAACTTCAACGAAAATTGGTTTTTAAAAACGAAATTTTCAGGAACTAATAAAAAGACAATATTTTATGCAAGAAATGTCTTTCCATACCTTTTTAGTAGTTTTCCTTTGTGTGATAAACAGTGAAACATGAAAGTTTGCAGAGAGCCACACCACAGCTTGCACACATGACACTTGTTTCTTTTCTAATCTTGTGCTTAGCACACACGACACTTTCTCATGGCACCATTCTTCTTCTTGTTACTGGGAGGAACATCGACCATTTTGTGTATTTTCAGGCCACCCTCTAGACGATTTGCTGAGTCTTTCACTGGTGGTCTTTTCAAGGTCGCGGGCAGAGGCATGACTGCACTCGAGTCTGAAGCAACAGATTCGTCATCCACTTCATTCTTTGACTCTTCTCCCTCTCCACACTGTTTGTTTGGTTCTGTCATTTTTTCTACACAGTCCAATATAAAATCTTTGAATTTGTAATTTCTCTTCTTGTATTTTTCGTTTGTTGTGTTCCCTTTGAATAGAATGAAACTATTCAACACTGTCATTTGCAACAAGAAAAACACCAGTTTCTTTGTCCACTTTACAGTTTTGCGGGAACAAGGATAATAATGCAGCATCTGATCAGCCCTGTCAACCCCTCTCATATGTTTATTGCAGTCCCCAATTACCTCGGGTCTGCATATTTTTTCTCCTTTGCGATTTGTTTTTGCAGATTCCACGATTTTTGCTGTGTGAAGAGTGGAGATAAGTTTGACGTCTCTTTTATCTCTCCAAAACTGTATGAGAACCTGCCCCGTCCTAGAGAACACAGATTCCCCTTTTTTTCAAATTTTTTACATCATCCTTTAGTTCTTTAGGAGCTCCTCTGTCCATTCTGAAGGTTCCACACACATAGGTATTTCTCTGTAATAACGTCTCACACAATTCTACACTACTGTAATAGTTATCCTGGTAGAGATGATACCCTGTGGCCCCAACAGATCGACAACTAATTTCTTTATAGGTCTTTATTTTCCACAATAAATTTCAAAAGTTCAAATATATGCACCTGTCGATTCACAAACACGATAAGCCTTTATATCGTACTTATCAGGTTTATCAGACATATATACTCGGAAGATAAGACGTCCTTTCCAAGCGATCATTCCTTCATCTCTTGCAATTTCCTTTTCAGGGATATATGTGTTTCTGAATTTCCCCACTAATGAGTCTATAATTGGCCTAACTTTATACAAGCGATCTTCCAAGTCAGCTGGTCGTGCATCGTTGTCAGCAAAATGAAGAAATTTTTAAATCTGTTGGAACCGCCACAAAGACATCTTTTGTCCATACCATGGAGTGTGAAATAGAGGCCTAGTGGACCAATATTCTTCAATTTCAGGGAGTTTGTCGATTCCTGTCATGAACACAATCCCTAAGTATGTCCAGATTTCATCTGGTGTGACATATTTGTAATTGTGTTCTCGAGAGTGGGGAGCTAACTCATGTGTGTTGAAGTGCTGGTAAGCATAGCGATTGGTTTCAGTTGTGATGGGATTTACTAAGTCGTCATCCAGAAAAATTTTAATCCATGAAAAGGGGTGCATTTTATCTGTTATATCAATTTTGATCCTGGAACTACTAGTAAATGGAACTATTGTTGGTACAATGTCTCCGTACGTCCAGGAGATGGGCGTGTCAGGCACTGCACTCGTGGTAGGTAACTGTTCATGATTACTGTCTTGTGCATCATTGTCTATCACTGTATTACTGTCACTATCAACTTCATCTAATTCAGGAATCATTATTTCATCGCCACTATCATCATCAGCACAGATCTCGTTCACAACAATTTCCAGCTGGTATGTAGGAACACTCCGACACTTGCTGCAAGCCATGGTGAAACTGAATGAATGTGAAATATTTTCTGACCTTTTCCTTCTCGGAGGGTTCTGACAGTAATATAGACCCCCACAAAGTTAACAAGGGTTCTTTACAACCATGCACAAAAACTATCATATATATGTCTTTGGTTGATGAGTGCCAAGAGAGCAAAGAAGGGAAGAGTTTATCAAAGCGCTAGAACACACCAACGCCAGGGAACGGCTGGCATCATCCAGGCATTAAAATGCCCCCGCGCCAGTCAAATAGTTAAATGGCCCGCCTCTTAAAGGTTAATAGAGAAAACCAGGCACCGACCTTGATATAGTTGTGTTATGACGGTCTTAATAAAGAAGTTATATGTTGCTTTAGAAGTTTCCATTTCAAGAAGTGTGATTTATGTTCCACCCACTATACTGATAACATTAACTGCAGTTTGGACCCATGTTTCATCTTACCTTAAGGATTCCAGAGAGAGCTACTGGCAGCATGTGGCTAAACACCAGGTTCCCAACAATACCAAGTGCTGTCATCAATACAATGGGATTGAGGATTATACTTTTTGCTACAGCTCCAGCCACTTGGAGCTTACTGTTCTTCCTTGACAATTCTGTACCAGCTGTGGTTCCATGATTACCAGGTTGATTAACAGCACTGCTATCATGTTTGCTAAGCTCCATGAGAATGAAGCCAAGAGGGTTCAAAATCACGAGTGAAATGGGAGCCATCAGATACAGGTAACTTGCATAATCAGGATGAGTCTTCTGATATAGTGCCCCCACTGTAAACATAATGCAACAGAAATGGTGAAAATGGCTAAGAATTCCTCCCATAAATTCGTCAAACTGCATACAACAGAATTCTGCCTCATTTGAAAGCTAAATCAAAAGTGGTACTTGGTGCTCTCTTGTGTCACTATGTCCCCACATTTTTGTAAATTCTCTTCTTTAAGAAAGGTTAGTGTAAAGTTAACTTTGTGCCCACACACCACATCATTAAGGTGTACTCAAGATTCACACTCTAGCTATTGGGAAGACATATGGTACCGTCAGGGAGAAGGCTGGGTACAGTAGGTTTGGTATGACATGAGCTACATCCTTGAGATATGCAGCAGCTTTGCCATCAGAAAAGAGGTTGGGGGGTAAGCAGACCTTAGGCTCTCTAGTGCCATGACTGAGTTAACACTGAGTGATGAGTTCCATTTCAATAATACCCCACTTACAATTACGCCTGTCATTTTGCTGTTTCTGTTTATACTAAGTGCAGGCACAATGCAAGGCAAGGGCAGTGGTCTAAAGTAATACACAGCCAAAAGAGAGAAATGGAGACAAGTTTTTACCGTTTTATGAAGAAAGAAGGTGACGGGGGCAAGGCAAACTTTGATTAGATATAAAAACTTGTTTAAGCTACTACAGTGTGTTTAAATACTCTGAAATACATTTTAAAAGAGTATGAACATAATAAAGGTGTAGGGAAACAATTCAGGATACCCCCCAAAAATGGCCACATGGGAAAATTAAAACTGATACCGATGATTTTGGTGTGTAATTTGAGAAATGATTAACAAATTTCATAATACAGGCAGTAAGTGACCTTCAAAATCACTGTTATCAGTATTCAAGGAAAAGATTAACTTCAGTGTCAAAATGTGGGCTCTTTGAAAAATAATTAAGAGATTTATTCTTCAGGTGGAGGATATCAAAGAGTAACAGAAAAGTTCTGACTGAAAAGGACAAGAGTGATGCAGGTAAGATAAGTATATTTGTGAAATACGTGGTACAGTCATTAATTTCGTGGACTGTGGGTTTATCACATCATATCATATTAGAACGTATTCACATACACTTACACAGATCCATATCAACCCTCAAAATAGTTGCTGTTGGCCGCTACGTAAGTCTGCCAACGTTGATATAGCTGCCAAAAACACTGTTGAAACATATTGGCAAGAAATTCCCTTACGGCGTCTCTTGTGGCATTGATGACCTCCTTGGATGACTGAAATCTATGACCACGTAGCTTTGCTTTCAAGCGGTGAAAGAGAAAGAAATCGCAGGGTGCGAGATCAGGTGAGTACGGAGGGTGTGGCAAAACGGTGACCTGTTGCCTTGCCAGTTTCTCTTGGACAAGAACAGAGTGATGTGCAGGGGCATTGTCATGTAGCAACAGCCAATTCTTCCTATGCCAAATGTTTCGCTAGGGGATCTGCCTAGTGCCTGGCAGAACTTTATGTCTGTCTGTTGTTCAAACTGCAACATATTCTATTTCCACCACTCGCATTTAACTGCAGTACACAACATAGGCTGTAGTTCTGCTTACACTGTTAGCATACAACTGTCTCTTGCTGTGATGAGAGAGGAACTAACAGGGCATCATTTCGTGCCACAACCTTAACACTATAGTACACTGCAACAACGCTTTGTGGCCAGTCCACGAAATTATTGACTGTGGTAGTATGTTGTTACAGAAATGAGGGTTGTCTTATCATCTACATGCACAAAACAAACATTCACTCTTCACAAAATAAAAAGACATGCTTGGGGTGATGGTACAAATGTAGGTCTACTTGCACCCCATCCCTAAAGCAGTCAGTCATCATCACACATGCTGGCAGTGAAATGGTTTCACACATAATGCTTTGTTAATGTTAAAACTGGGGACAAAATTTTGAGATTATCATTGCAAATTAATTTTTATAACTCTGAAAGATGACTAAAAATGAAGTTGTTCAGTATTAGTAGCAGACAATACAGCTTGCCATATTGTGCATATCACTCCAGCTAAAACTTCATGTCAAACATGTGCTAGGATTTACCAGCTTTCAGACTGTGACATTCCTGTCAGTGATGAAATGTGTATGCCCAAATTGAATTCTATAATTAAACTGCATAAGTCACAATTCAAAACATTTAAAATTTATTCTCTACTGGCTGAACGCCACTTTGTCCTTCACTTGCTGCCACATCATCCAGACCTTATCTGACTGAACTGATATTGGGATCAGTTAAAGAGTATGTTAGCAAAATGAATGCTTCCATCTAGATGATGGTATGGAACTGGCTGAGGAAAAGTTCAGTATCATCACAAAGGAAGAACAGAGCTCAAGGTGCAACAATGTCCATTAATGCAAACAGAATTACTTGTGGCTGGAACCTATTGATGATATTTCGTTAAAAAATTATAGTTAGCTTGCAAAACAAGAGTGATACCAGCAGCTGCAGCAGTAGCGAGGGGAGGGGGAGGAGGAGGAGGAGGAGAAGAAGAAGAAGAAGATGATGATGATGACAGGGAAATGTTAACTAGCCACTGAGGTAACTCAGTCTGTACTCATGTTCTTGTGTTTGGTGGTGGAGAGAAAGCTCTTCCCCCTCTTCATGTGCCACTACTACTAACAGACACTGTTGTTACCCAACCTCTCAGGCTTCTCAGAGCTCATGTCATACCAAACAGCTTATAAACCTCAGAATTGGTCTGGACATTGCGGCAAAAAGAAAAATCCTTGACACTGCTGCATAATGAACTCTAGCTGTACAGCCTGTAACCAGTTATTTTAATGATAGCTACCAATTATTCTCAAAGAAGGTGAACATACAATCTTTTACCACTTACCTATAGGATAACCAATAGCAAAATCATTGCTCTGTGTGCAGAAGATAGCAAATAGGCCAGCTCGTCCTGTGTTGACAGGACGACTGACAAGAAGGGTGACAACTACAACTACAAGAAACACAACAGTCTTGGCCACTAGAACTGACAGCAGGAACATCCAGTTTACAGAAGAGAGATCCAGTTCCGCAAGAGACAGAAAGATAAGTGCTGGCAGCGAGAATGAACCAACAAATGTGCTGAGACCCTTCGTTTCTGTTTGAGAGATCAGATTCATTCGCCCAGCCACATACCTATGAAAAGAAGGTACTTTGTTAATGTATTTAATTACATCTACGTGTTTTAGTAATTTTAGCAGATGTACAATAATCTCTATAATTCATTTGTTTACTACAATCAGAATTCATTTGAAAATGAAAGCATGGATTTGAAAAACTATTCTCCTAACATCTTCAAAATTATGTCTGGAAGAAATATCTTCCTTTGTATCACACTGCTTATACAAGTGACTAGTATATTTGTATTTTATGTTGTCAGAAATGATGACATACATATATGACACATGGTGGGAGGATATACATAAGAAAATGAATTCATCATGATGTGAGACCGGTTACCTTTTTATTTTGTCAATTGTGTCCATTATGTGGGCTGCAATAATTATAGTAATGTAGGTATACCATCAACATTTTGTGCACAATAATTTTAGTTTCATTTCTATGTATAAGGTAAAGGTAAAGTTGTCCCTGTGCTTAACTAATTAAGCACTGTGCCATGAAGGCATATGGGGGAAGTGGATGTATACATCCACATTTTCTTGACCTCGGCACTAGTTGGAGGTGAGGGGTCAGCTTCATGCCCCTGCTGCTTTCCCCCCCCCCCTGGGGAAAGGGCCCCCAGTACCCATTTGATAGGAGGTTTATTTATTTATTTTGTCTCTACAGATCATTGTTACATGATATAGGACAAGTCAGTTACTGTACATTGGCAGATTACAATAAGAGAATAAAGTTACAGTACTTACAATTGTTTACAATAGATTACAGTAGATTATAATAGTTAAGAGTTCGTATAGTGTGAGGTGGAATCCATATTAGGTCCCCTCAGCACGTCGGTTGGGGTGGCCCCAGAGCCAGTCTGGACGTGAAGAAGAGAAAATTCTTGACCTTACCAGAACTCGACACCTGAGTGTCCACCATACTCACACCTACCCTCCATAGCTGTAGGCTGTCTCCTTCATCCACAACCTGAGAATGCACTGAGACATGGTGACAAGGGACCCACGTCATGTGGATGCATTCTTACTATATATTCAAAATGAACTGCTTTGTCTTCATAGCCAATGACTTTAAGCACCTAACCTATAAATAAACCCCTGACATTCCAAGTAATAACTGATATGTCCTTCATACACCATACAGGTCATTCCAAAGATTCTGTCCAAGCCCTCTGTAGGCATTTCTTAACAAATATTTCTATGGTGCAGTTCTGTAATCCCTGCATCTGGTAACCAAGCTAGAGACCACCACTTGCCCAGTGTTCAAAAAAATGCTATTCTGTATAAATGATATAATGATACAAATTCCGTCCCAAGTGCAAACAATATATTATGTGTCGTTGATCTTGCTCCTCTACACTACATGTTTTGGCCTCAGACGGCCATCATCAGGTGTATAACACTCACGTTGCTGTCACACTGCACCCAGCCCAAAATTTAACATTTAAAACACTTTCCTTTTTATTATCAACATCTACTTCGTTGATATCTGTCTGGTTTGTAGATTATTTTACACACGTTAATTTTGACGTTCCTGTAGTAGCACTATAAAATCTTTAGTTCTAATTTTATAATCTTTTAAAATTTTTCTCTAAATTTTAAATTTAAAATTGTTAGGGTTACTCGCCCTATGTCTAAAGTGCTACAGCGGCTAGTTCTTGTTTCCACACTGTATANATGGCCATCTGAGGCCGAAACATGTAGTGTAGAGGAGCAAGATCAAAGACACATAATATATTGTTTGCACTTGGGACGGAATTTGTATCATTATATCATTTATCGTATGGAGTGCAACAGGATGCTTAAATATAATATTGCTATTCTGTATATTGAAAGCTACCCTCCACCTAAAGACCTGCCATACTATGGTGACAACAGATCCATTTACCATGGCACATTAGCTTTTATTACAGCTTGTACAACCCTCCCCCAAATGAATTTAAAGAATAACGAAGGTATCTAGAAACAGCAGTTAACAATATATATTTTATAAGTACCAGTGGCAAATGTTGTATATCATAAACCCATGCTCATATACTAGAATAAATTGTCTTGAGACTTCTTACCCACAGAGAATAACAGCAAAACATTCCAGTAATGCTGGGTACAGGTTGTCCACAGCAATGTCACCAGCAGGTTGAGGATCTGCTGCACTTATGAGATCCTGAGTGACATTTTCCATCTGTAACAAGTTCACAAACTAATTCTCAGTTTGTTAACAACTTTACTATACACATCACTGGCTTAAGAATAACAACACATCAATTAACTAACCAGCTAATTAAATAATGAGCTACCTAACTCTAAGGAGCAGAGTCATAATCATAACTCATCTATGATGATTACTTTCTTCTGGGATATGTCATAAATGTTTCCAGACATTTCAGAGGAATAGCACATCCTCAGGGTAGAAGAATTAAATTTCTACCCTGAAGATGGAGGCAACATATTCCTCCAAAATGTCAGAAAGCATCTACCACACTAAACAGTGTCACATCTCAAAGGCAGTAAATCTTCAGAGTCACTACTGTAAAAATCTGTATCTCATACTTATCTAGTTAGGAGTCAAAACTATAGTCAGTGCACTTCTGAAGTTCCTTATCTATTCAACTATCACTAAGTTGACTGTGTAGTTCACTCAAAAGACAGGTTGCTCCAAAACGCGTTTAGTAACATACCTTGACACTCTAACTCCACACCTACAGCAAGCTCAAAATCACTGCATAAATATGGGTTAGAACGGAAATGAGGTATGATAACTCCTGACAAAAAGGTGCACCTTCGCTCTTCGCTGCTTCCAAATAAGTATGTAGAAAAGCTACCTCATAATATCAACCCAGACTTTAACATGGCCTACTTCAACAATAATAACAACAATCTACATCAAATTACAGAGAAGGAACTGTGGTACATAGCCTTGGCAGAAAAAATTAAGGAAATGTTGAAAAGAATTAAGTATACACAGTTCCAATACATGTCTTCCACTGCGATTATCCCAAAGAATCTCCGTAACAGCATAAACCATTCAGAATTACCAAACAACATTAACATTCAGATTAAAAAACATCACTGCTATCAGACCTGATCTACAGTACAAATTTTTAAAAGATAATATATCACAACAAAGGTAGCTGTAGTTCACACAAAATGGATTCAACATGCCTCATACAGAGTTACTGTGTATAGAGTAAGTACATTTGTGAATATTTACTATAAGCACACTGTGCGCCCATTAATTAAACGAAATTGTTACGGAGAATAATTAATGTATTACAAATATTAAAAGTGACAGCAAGTGCCAAATTCAACCTAATCCTCGATTAAGAATTAAAACAATACAGACTCTTGAGTTTGAAGGAGTCTGCTAAGATCAAGCATATGTGACAAAAACCCAGACATATAAGTAAAATTAAATTACATATTTTAATAAGACACAAACAATTATAAACATGAATTAAAACTACCATTTTCATCAACTCCTGAGTAAAGTTAAGATCACAGTCTTCTTGAACGTTATTCCATATATTTAACAGATAGGTTCCAGTGTTCTGGACAAACCTGCTATCCCCATCTTCAGGGTAGAAAAATTATCATCAGAAATCACTCTACTCTGAAGATGGAAGCAGCAGATTGGTGTAAGCACTGGTACCTATCTACCAACTATACAGCATGACATCCCAGATGACCATGGCCATAACATTCACTGCTGTGAAAACCTCGATCATCATATAACTGATCTACAAAAGAAGCACATGCAATTCTAACACAAAATTAACTATCAACAGTATGGTGGTAGGAATTTCCAATTTAACGATAACATAAAACAACTTTGATAAAGAACTGAAATATCGCAAAACAAAATTATAAGTTATATGTTATAATGTAAGATTTGAGGTTTTCACAGCAGTGGCTATGAAGAAAGCAGTCTTGAGATTTGGCACCGGTTCTCACGGTCTCTTCACTTGCAGATTTCTTATATTTTTCCTTCTACCCTGAAGATGGAGGTGATACGTTCCTCCAAAACGTCGGTTAACACCACATATACACGGTGCCAAATCCCAGAAGACTGCTTTCTTTATATGTTATAATGTTTAACATATGCAATTTTCACTACTTTGAAGGGAAGTATATGCAAATTGAAATACTCTGGATGGATATGCTGTCTCTGCATTGACATGTGAATATTTTTGGTGAATGTAATAATAAGGTAATAATTTACAAGTACTGGCACGTTTCTGTATCTTCACTAACCTTTATACTTCAAGATGAATACTCTTAACTTCATACAAGGTGCAGTGAAAAAGTATGATATCTTTTAGCCAAGTGTGCACTAGGAACACATAAAACTCTACATGCAGAGTTCAAGAAATCTCCACTCGATCCATGCAACTGCACCAGCACAGTACTTCTGACCTTTAATAAATTCAATTCAGCACTTCATATTACTGTGCCAGGCCGTTTCCTACATCCCACACAGCATTCCTACAAACTCTCAAGGCATGTAAGGAATTTAATCAATTTAGTCAGGGTTCTATAAGGCTTGACTGTAGTGCAAAACCAAGCTAAGTTCATGAAAAGCAAAATCTATACTGCTGAAATGTCACACTATCAAAATTCAATACAGTGAGGAGTATAAATAATTAAAAGTGGATATATACAAGTGAGGTGTAATCACTTATTAACTTGTGGTTGGGTAATCTGTCAAACCGAACTGTTATTATTTTTTTTGTAGTAATATGTAGCTGCCATACCGTCGGTAACTTAATTTCATAATCTTCTTTCCACCGTTGTAAAATTTTATAAATTCAATACAAACAAGAATGTAATTACTAAAGGCCATGTGACCAAAGGAAAAGTATTTTTAAAGCACAAACCTGTAACATACTCATATTCAATTCATTTACTAGGCTCATACGCAGATTCTGATTAAAGATAATTTTTATATTTAATCCTACATAACATTAACTGCAATCTGTTGTTCTACATTTTAGACAGATGAAAGTATAACAAAACAGGCATTCGCACTCTTCCGTTCGCATTTTCGTAACACCTTATTTACATACGGCATATAAAGTGATAAGGACGACTCAGACCGACTGACTCACGAAATCGTCACCGTCGTCACCGGTCGTCACGGTGGTCACGGTCGGTCACGGGCGCCACAATTCACACCTGCAAGGCGCGCGAAAATGAAATTTATTGATACAAGCAAAACAATCTACGGCCTACCAACACGTAATAATTCTCCCTAACAACGACATCATGCTGAGCACTTTTAATTTTAAACATCTCTTATATTCAATTTTATTACGAAACTTCTTTAAGCAAAGTATTTACTGAAAATCGTATTAGTAAAATTGCACGACCTCATCAGATTTATTGAAAACAGTTTCCCAAACTCATGGTGTACGGATCACCAGTGATCGACGACATTATTTCAAGTGGATTTCCTCCATCTTCAAGGTCAACATGATTTCATATCTGAAGATGGAGGCAATGAATTCCTCTGTTTCAATTTTTCTTTTTCTTTTGTCTGCTCAATGTAACAAGAAAATGAATAGTTCCCACCATCTATCGGGATGGTGTAGGTACTAACTCATTGTCCTACCTCTTGGGCTCCGTCGATTTCATCAAACTTCTTACCGTTTTTCATTCAATATTCGAGTGGTCCGTAAAAGGATAATCGTGTAAAAGTGGTCCGTGGCCGCCCCAAAAAAGCCCCCCGCCCCATTTCTCTTTCTTTTTCGGCCCACTGCGCTGGGCCAGCTAAGAGAAGGCTTTGTGGTATAAATACATCATGTGGTCATGACGATCATGACGATCATTACTTCAATCCCTGATAACGGAGCCAGAGTGTGTCTCTGGAACATCGGTGGGTTACTGCATTTTACTCATGTGATTGCCAAAGAAGACTTCATTGCATATATTCACCATGAAAGCTTCAAACTGTATGTAGTATGTAGTAAATGAAATGAAAATAAAAGTACTGTCTCATCTTATTACTGATATGATATATTATACATGATTTCAACACATAAAACACATGTGAGATGAGATGCTTACATTCAGTTACTACTTTCACAACTAATAGAATGGTGGGAGTTTGGATGAAATCTGATAAGCCATTCCTCGAGTAATGAGCGAACATGTGGAGAGCTGTGTAGTCTAGCAAGTGTATATAAAATTTCACACTGCAAAAGCTCTATATGATATGAAAAGATGGTCATAAATGATGAGTAGGTAATGAATTTTTTGTAAATAGCATAGACAAGCTGATACATTTAAATAAAAATTGTAAAATTGACCATGCCACTACAAATGATGCAATACAAAATCCAAATGTATTATTTCTTGCTCCCGTAACTGCAGAAGAGGTTCTTCAGGTTACTAGTAAATTAAAAATGAAAATTTCAGCAGGTTATGACGAGATTCCGGATATGATAGTTAAACAATGTATCCAAACCATAAAAAAGCCTTTGACTTTTATATTTAATCTGTCACTAAGTTCTGGCATTTTTCCAAATCAAATGAAGATTGCAAAAGTTCGACCTATTTTTAAGAAAGGTCAGAAACAAAATATTGCAAATTACAGACCAATCTCAATTTTGTCTGTTTTTTAAAAAATTCTTGAAACATTGATGTACAACAGGGTTGTAAATTTCTTAAATAGATTCAATCTGATATCAAATGCTCAAAATGGTTTTAGAAAAAATAAATCCACGTTTATGGCAATTCAAACTTTTATTGGAGAAATTCAGAAAACACTAGATAATAAACAACTTGCCTTTGGTATAGTTCTGGATCTATCAAAGGCTTTTGATGTTATTAATCATAACTTGCTGCTTGCAAAGTTGGAACCTTTATGGACTGAGAGGAATATCTCATGCATTGATGAGATCGTATCTTACAGATAGATCACAGTTTGTTGAAATTCACTATATGGATCAAAAGACTTAAAAAATGAAGACAGTTACCTCATCCCTTAAAGCAATTAAATATGGTGTACCTCAAGGTTCTGTTTTGGGACCCCTTTTATTCCTATTATTTATAAATGATCTGCCCCAAGTTATACATAATGCAGAGGTAGTACTATTTGCTGATGATACAAATATATTGATTACTGGAAAAAATATTTTATCATTAAATGAAAAAATTCAAAATGTAAAGACTCAATTAGAAAAATGGTTTTATGAAAATCGTTTAATAATAAACATGGATAAGTCAAAGGTATTATTTTTTCGGGGAAGTAGATCTATTCAAATTACCAGACCCCTTTTTTATTTAAATAATGAGGTGGTGGGTTATTCAGTGGATGTAAAATTTTTGGGTATTTGCGTTACTGAAGATTTAAGTTGGGCAACCCACACCCAATATGCGTATCAGAAACTTAGCAAGACTACCTATTTGATAAAATCCCTACGGGACTGAGTGAGCCAAACTGTTTTAAGAAGTGTGTATCTTGCAAAATTTGAGTCCGTGTTGAAATACGGTATTATTTTTTGGGTGGGGTGCAAAAGGACTCTGA